CTGCCGAATGGAGGTTGAGATAAATTAGGGCTGGATGAGGGGGTATATGGAAAACCCTCACCCAGAAGCCGGTGATGAATATTCATCAAATGTCCACAATACTGATTGACAATCCTCCATCCCAAACTTTTGGGATCAGATGTGATTCAACAATAAATTTTTTTTTGGATTTTAAAAAGATAATATTGTGCAGCAACTCCATCAGGATCTGAGGGAGAACTCTGTAATTAAGCTTAATTAATAACATGTATGAATATTCACACTCAATGGAATAAATTAATATCATAAATAGCCTTAGGTTAGTTCAGGTAAGGTTTTGCTCTCAGAATAGTTTGCTACAAACCGAGGGAGAAAAACTCTCAGACTACAGAGCTTTATGCATGTTAGCATTGCAGATTAGGGTCTATGGATCCATGGTGAGTACTTGGATATCTCGAAGGGAGAGTCAGGAAACAACAAAAACAGTAAAATATTCACTCATTTGAGCCCAGCTATGATGGCAGGATTTGGGAGAACAAGTGAGAGAATGTAGGAGTTGCTTTGTAAAGCATTTAGTCTTACATATACGGAAGGTTCTACTATTATGGCACCTACAATGTTTAGTCAGAGCTCATGGGAGCACTGCTTCTGGCTACGGATGGAATTCATAGATCAATGTGATGTTGATGTTACTATTGTCTTAGCAGATACCAGGCTTGACCACAGAATTTCTGCAGGGCAGGTCTGGCAGGGTTGTACCTGTGAAGTGGCTGGTGGTGTTGGGGGGTGGTGGAAGGAAGGCTGGACCAGGGTCAGGAGGGCTGGTGTAGGTGACAGAGCCACCATTTTCTTGTTCTTGGACACTTAGGTTTCTTATCCTTTCTGGGCCTGAGTTTTGTTATATATATATTTAAAAATCTATGTGTCCTAGCCACCACCTTTCAGGGACTTCAGAGAGTTAAAATGAAGTCATGTGAGTATCAGAGCTTTGCAAGCTGGGGCATTCCACTCTATCAAGGAAAGTCATGATTTTCTTACGGTACTTGATCCTAATCTTAGTTTTCTATTCCCTAGGACTGATTCTAATAGCATGGGTTCCAATTTGGGGTCCTTTACTCAATTACTAGGGGGGTGTGACTTTGGGCAAGTTACTTACCCTCTTTGTGCCTCACTTTCCATAAAGTGGAAATAATAGTGATCATGCCTCTGTCACAGAGTTGTTAGAACGATCCTGTGAGGATTAATTGCCCTCATACAATGATAGCTCCTCACGTGATCCCAGGCTTAAATCAGGCCCATGAGTCACTGGGAACAGAGGTGAGAAATGGTTCTTAAATCTTTTTCCCATTGTGTGGCTTTGGTAAACTGTTTCCAGTCACTAAATAACACCCTAATGGCTTCAGAGACTTAAGGGAGACACAGTCTTGAAAGGACTGAGTTAGGAGTCACTTAATGATCACTCATGAAATAGTGAAGGCTGATCAGGCTCTCCCTCAGAGTAGTAAACAGTAAAAATTGGCGTCAACCTTTGGTTTATTGGGGAAAATATTTCCACGTGTAGAAAGAGTGCCACATAAATCCCAGGCATTGCAGGCCAGAGGCCGGTGTCTCCTGTTAACTCCAAACCTTGATCAGGAACTCCGCCCTTTCCCTCCCTCTCCCCTCCCCTCCCCTGTTTTCCTCCTCCCCTATGCCCCCACTCCCTCCCAAGCTCCTTCTCTATCTTTTCCCTTACTACTTCCTTCCTTCCATCTTTTCTCCTCTTCTTTCTTCTGCAAACATCCACTGCGTTTCTCATTAACACCCACCATGGTGCTGGACACCAGAGATATACAGGTAGGTCCTGCTCCCAGCAACCTCTAGGTCTCAGGGTGAGGCAGACCTGGTTGGGCGAGGAGGAATCCATTAGCAAGCGAGGCCAACAACTTTCTTCTCACTGGGGTTATGGTTGAGGGAAGATGCAGATGTCAGTTGTAGATTCACATGCATCAGTGTGTATTTACAAACCGAGGCAAGTGCTCTGAAGGAAAAGGAATGCTTCTGCAGGAGCTTGTACATCAGAAACCTGATTTTGGTTTGAAGGTAATGTCAGGAGAGACAATCCTGTGGGCAGCTCATGTGAGCCGAGCTTCAGAAGGACCAGGGAGACGTGTTATGCAAATAGGACAACGCGTGCTACGGCCCTGTGGTGGGTGAGCGTTTAACCAATCGAGGGGATGAGGGGAGCTCATAGAGTGTGTGGCAGGAAAGAGGTGCCCAGTGAGTGATGTCACAGAGATGAGCAGGGGCACCATCAGGGCCCTCATCATACTTTACCCTAATGGCAATGGAAAGTGTTGCTCTTCTGCGTGAAAGGATTACAGTGAGAAACCAGCAGAAAGTAGAGACCACGGCAGGTCTTTCCAGGATGTTGTGATGGGGCTGAGACCCGAGGTCCAGCTGATGAAAGAAGTTCCTGAATCACCCCATTGTTGAAAATTCTTGAATCAATAGTGCCCACAGCCTGTGGAACATGGTTCTAGGCTTTGGAGAAGCCAGGCATTTGCAGAAGGCTGTGGGTCTTAGTCAATTTGCCATCCTTTGTGAATTGCTGAGTCGAGAGAGAGAGACAGAGAGAGAGAGAGAGAGATCATATGTGATCCAAACTGAAGCACTTCAGTGTTTGTTACTTAATGGCAAGGCTGGGGCTCTTGACTAACAATTGCATGGTGCATCAGGAGATTTTCAAGTGAAAATTAATTCTGTGTTGTCACATTCCAGGTTAATTAACTTGCTAGACTTGATAGAGTTACATTAAAAATATGCATAACAATCGTTCTTAAAAGAACCACACAAGACCACAACCCAGGAGAGAAGAAGCTTAAAATTTCCTCTATGCCAGTTTCTCTCTGCATCCCTCCACCTCCAAAACAGCCTCCAGATCTACCTGACTGCTGTGAAGCACTGGAGAGATAACTTGCTGCTTCTGACAGACTTAAGATTTAAATTATTTTCCAGCCCCATATACAATGTTGCAGCACTTTTATTTCCTTCCCTGAAAATTTTTATGCATTATCCAGTATTTCCCATGATGCATCTATGCTAAGTCTGAGAAAAGGATATATAGAAGTATAATGGCTATATAAGTATTGCCAGATATAGTCAAATAGCCAAATAATGATACTTAGTGTCTTAGTCTTCTTTGTGCTGCTATAACAGACCATCTGAGATTGTGTAATTTATAAAGAGCAGAAATTTGCTTCTCACAGTTCTGGAGGCTGGGCAGTCCAAGATCAAGGTACTTGCATCTGGTAAGAGCCTTCTTGCTTCTTCCTCCCTCCTTCCCTTCCTGTGCATTTTGAAATCCTCAAACACCTTCCTTTTATTCACTGGTAGAGGTAACCCAGGAGAAAATGGAAGTACATTCTCGTTACAATCTGTAGTTGTTTCTTGGGAGAACGAAGAAATTCCAGGATGTTCCTGATTTAAAAAAAAAAAAAAAACCACCATGGCAGAAGAGAGCAAGCCCACTCCTATAAGTCATTTTAAAAACAGCAGCATTGATTCATTCGTGAGGCAGAGCCCTCATGACTTAAACACCTCCCACTAGGCCCCACCCTCAACACTGTTGCATTGGGGATGAAGTTGCCAACACATGAATTTTGGGGGACACATTTAGACCACAGCACTTAGTAACAACAACAACATTTGGAACACACGGGCTAAAAGCTAGCGTGTTGGGTCTAACTGGCCCGATCTGATTTCCTGGCTCCATCACATCCAGCTGGGTGACCTTGGCCTGTTACTAAACTGAAGCCTTAGCTTTCTGAGCTTTCACGGTGGAGCTAAAAGAAGCATACCTTTCTGAGAGTTGGGAGAATTCAATGAGAGGATGTATGTAAAGCACTGAGCATACATAACCAGTGTATGTGAAGTCTCAATAATTTTCAGCACTTATTACAATTAATAATCACATGACTGATTGGTGGTGGCTGAGTTGGGCCATGAGGAGGGGCAGAGATGGTAGCAAATAACTCTGTGGATCTCAGCTCAGGCTAGGTCCCTGTCCCACCCCATTCTTTCTCTTTCACTATGGGGTCGGGGGGAAGCCAGACTTCTCCTTGGGATGGAAGAATTTCTTGACTACAGATTCCCCACTGCAACCCCAGAACTGGTTGCCCAGATGCAGGGGGTAAGAAGGGGCCGATAATGGGAACTGAACACCAAAAAGTTTAACTCAGCTTCTGGACTGGGGCATGAACTGAGGCCCACGATGACAGCCCAGCTCGTGCTCTAGGAATGTGTTGCCCCTTCAAGTCATGCCAAGATGATGACAGGACCATCAGCACAGTTGCTCTCCAGCTTTGGGGCGAGGACACAGGATATTCCAAAGGACGATGGGGATAGGGCAAACCCAGTATGGAATGAGATAATCTGGAGTATCATTAAAGTCAGAAATCAGAGCCGAAAATCTCACCCACAGCAAACTGCTTTGAGAATAAAATTACAAAAGAAATCTTTACCGTTTGGCAGAAAAAGTCAACAAACAGTCATACCTGCAGACAACATAATAGTTTCCTACACATTCTGCTTATTTTCACTGGGTCCTAAAGGCCTGAAATTGGATGGCTCATAGCTAATCAATTTACCAATATTTATTGAATGTCCAGCTTCAGCCCAGCACCCATTCAGCACTGTGATGGGCTAGAAGAGAAATATTAGATGTGGTTCCTTGATCTGCTAACAAAATCCACGGCAAAATCAATGTTGGCTGAATTTTTCTAGTTTCCCTTCCTCCCTCCCTCCCTCCCTTCCTGTGCATTTTGAAATCCTCAGAAACCTTTTTATTCATTGGTTTTATTCATTGATAGAGGTAACCCAGGAGAAAATGGAAGTACATCCTCATTACAATCTATAGCTGTTTCTTGGGAGAATTGAGAAATTCCAGGATGTTCCTGATTTTAAAAAATGTACATTATTAAAGATTATATATCTGGCAAATCAAAACATGAAATTGGGAAATGTTTCTGTTTGTTTTCTAGATCCACAGTCGACTCTTCTCATCCCCCAACGATCATTCTGCCTGGGAAAGAAATGAAAGTCTTTCGAATGCAGGTAAAGGACTGGGGTCTGCCCAGGCAGGCTTCCCTTTCAAGCCTTTATTTACTCTCTCTCTCTCTTTTATTTTTATTAATAATAGAGTGTACTTTTAAGCCTAGTTTTCCCCCAAATGTGAGATGATAGCTCAGTGGCTCTGACAAGATTTGAAGCTGGTGTGAATGTCTAAACAGCCAGGCCTTGAGACTAAGATGTCACAGGGGCAGCAGTGGCTTCAGGGGCGCCTGTGGAACCTGAGCTCCTTGCAGAGTGCAGAGCATGTGGGTCAGGCCAGCATGCAGCAGGGCTCCCCCAGGGATGAGTAATGGGACAAATACGAATATTCTCAGAACAAAGTGGATGCAATTTAAATATAGGCAGGATATGTGCATTCATAAATCATTTTTATAAAGCTTCCATTCTCAGCCACTAAACTGTAAAAACACTAGGTGAGATGGTTACAGTTCATCACTTTTATTAAGTTTGTTAACATAAATGATGTGAAAACCAGCTCCCCTGCCCCACCCTTTGTGAGCGAAATCCTACGGATTTAGTCCAATGTTCTGATGGAACTGTAATAAGACTACTGGGTTAATAGACTATTTCCATTCAGAGACTAGCAAAATTCAATTCTAAAAGAATGCTTTAATGTCACAATTTTATTTTTTAATCCTCATTTTAATTTTAATTTATAAATATGGCAGATGAGCCACTACAGATGAAAAGTGCATGTGATTATGTGTGTGTTTGTATGTATGTGGATGTGGATATATATGCATGTATGTATACATGTACACACACATAGATACATTTATGTCTTCTCTTCACCACCTGCCTATAGCAAAGATATCAGGAACCTGAATTCCTTTCCATAACTGACACAGTCAACCCAAGACAAAAACACTACTTGAAACCAGTTTTCATATTTAATCCTTTCTGGAAGTCCCGAAGCAGCGTGGGTTACAGCTTGTTCTTTTTTTTTTTTTTTTTTTTTTAAAGGGTCTCATTCTGTCACCCAGGCTGGAGTGCAGTGGTGCTATCATGACTCACTACAGCTTTGAACTCCTGGGCTCAAGCGATCCTCCCACTTCAGCCTCCCAAGTAGCTGGGACTATGGGCACGCACCACCATGCCCAGCTATTTTTTTTTTTTTTTTTTTTTTTTTGGTAGAGAGGGGATCTTGCCATGTTGCCTCACCTGGTCTCAAACTCCTTGGTTCAAGTGATCTGCTCAGCTCAGCCTCCCAAAGTGTTGGGATTACTGGCATGAGCCACCACACCCAACCTCCAGCTTTTTAGTAGTGACAGATACTTAGTTTGAACTTTTTGAAAACTTAGCCCAGAAATTGCCTGTAGTGAGAACACGAATCCATCTGCAGACACTTACTGTGGTCTGAACAGCAAAGGCAGGCTCCCAAAACATGTCTGGCTACTTGCATCCCAGAGGGAGTTTGGGGACACTGAGAAGAGTGCCATGTTTTCCTCAGAGCACTCAGAGGTGGCTGTGACATCAATGAGACCTGGTGACTTAAATGTGGATGCCTTGGTCCTCTTTATCTTAGGACTGGGCACTTCCACAGTGGATGCCTACTGGAGAGGGCCTGAGCACTTTAATGGCTTAGGAACCAATTCCATGCTGGCCCGAGGCTAGAGGTTAATGGTGCAGGCAGCAGGGAAATTGCTCAAGCAACCCTGGGTTGGGAGGGAGACAGAACTCTTGGCTTTGTATCCTTTTTTTAGTCTGTCAATATTGTCAAAGTGCAGATTACAGAAGGACACTTAAAGGCAGTCCTAAACCTTGAGTATATTCTAGTAGAAGGCAAGGAGTCAGACCTAAATGGGTTTCACGCTTCCCGGCAGGGCTGATTCTCCAAGGCACCCTCTCACATTCTCTGTGTCTTCCCGCAAGGTTGTTTCCATCTGTTTAAGAGAAATTGCACTGGGCACTTGTTTAAAATGGTAAGACAGATTTTACTGGAGTTCTGCAGTGGAGGAGAGAGCCTTCAGCGCAGGACTAAGCTCAGCTCTGAGTACAGCAAGGGCAGCTGGAGGTTTACGGCCAAAAGGCAGAGCGAGGAACTCAGCTGATGGAAAATTACAAAGAGGAACTTAGTATCCAAGCGGGGGGAGACGGACATGATTAGCCATCAAGGATGGGGGGCATTCTGCCTAAACTGGCTTTGCAGGAACTCACTAATCCTGGGCTCAGAGCGATTCTCACTAACCCTAAAACTGGGCTTAACAGGCCAAGGGTGAGGCCTAGTCAAGAAGAGGGCCCAGAGGAGCCTGGCTGAGGTTTGGTCAAGGAGGGAGTCCAGTTGCACCTCTTCTACAAAAGGAGGGCTAAGCAGCCACCCGTGCCCTCTGGGCTCTCCATGGCCGGCCTTTCTCCCTCAGGAAAGCATAGGGAGTTTAGCTCAGGACTAAAGCCCTTGTTTCCATGCTCATCAGAAGGGCCTGGGACAAGGATGACATCTTTCTTAGCCCTCTCAGTGGCTTTGGGAAACTCAGAGAACAGAGTTTTAGGTCAAACTCTGGGTTTGGAGACCAGAAACCCACTATTGTAGACAAAGGGAAACTGTTGCAAGGAAACCAGTGAACTTCATGGGAGGATGAGGCACTGGGTTGCAGAAAGACAGGAACCAAGGTTGCTACTTGGGCCTTGGCAGCAAGAGCGTGCGGGCCCTTACCTGGAACTGCTGGGTCAGGCGCACCCTGACCTGATCATCAGTCAGGAGGCAAGGTCAGATATTAGATGCACAACTTCCAGAGACCCAATCCTGGGGGTGATGGGCTAGTGGGGCAATGTTCTAGAAGGAATCCATGGGCCATGCGTATGTCTCAAAAGGCATAAGTAGGCACATAGAATCTTCATCTAGGGAGGGGCCACAGAGGTCCTTCTGTCCAGCTTCTTTGAGACGTCTGATGTTTTAAACCCCTCTTCATCATCCCCATGTAAGAATGTGGAAGCCCCTGCGGAGTGGCCTGGCCACATAGTAAACTCCAGGGACAGGGGACTCACTCTGTTTTAAGGTAGCCCGTGGCATGCTCACACAGCGGGGATTGTTAGAAAGCTTTTCAATGGCATCAAGACAAAATAAATCAGCCTTCTTACCTGTATTTATTAGGTAGGCAAAGAGGAACAATGAAATATTTTGAAGTTGCTGGAATACACTATCTGATCCAAGCACTAGGAAGACAACTCTGTTGTGATATTCCAGGTGGCAGGTAATGTGGGTTTAGCTGGGGCAGTGGCTATAGTCGCTAGAACTTTTGGAGCCCTAGAAATTAGTCAAATTATTTGCATGCTGTTGGGATAAGGGGAAAGTTAAAGATGTTCCTGGACAGACAGTGCTGTCATTCATTAGGTAGGGAACTCAGGATCCAGGAGGTTTATGGGGTTAGCGGGGTGCTAGTGGGAGGATCCTGAGTTTGTGGTGTTTGGAAACTCTATGTGTGAGAGGTCAGTATGGCCTCATCTGCTCCAGATGCCCAGGAAGCAGCTGGCAGCATGGCGTAGAGATCAGGAGCCAGGTCAGGGTTGTAGATCAGCATTGTAGATCTTGATATCATCACGGTGTACACGAGGGTGGTATGACAAACCATGAGAATGGCTGAGATTACAGCGGGAGAGAAGATATGAGTTGGGAAGAGGATGGGACTGCAAAACCAGGAGGAACCACATGTGTGAGGTGGGAAGAGGAGCACTGTCCTGAAAACCACAGAGCAGACGTCAGGGTTTTGTCTTTTCAATTGACATATGTAGTGCCCACGTTGACCTTGCCATCAGTTAGCATTTTGTCTTTGGAACAGTCCTTCCACTTCCTCATTTCTTGGTTTGCTCTTAGACAAGGGTGCTTTTGGGTGCTGTGATCTTTATGAAGCTGCTCTAAACTTCAGTGATGCGGGTGGTAGCCTCCAGCAGCAGCTCCATCAGTGGGCTATTTGTTCCAAACAGGCTATATAGAGCCCAAGCAGGAAATCGGAACTGAATGTCGTCTCTGAATTTTCATTTTTGCATCCTTCACTTTCACAATGAAGCTATTCACTTCCTCAGTCACTGGAAATTCCAGGACTTGGAAGGGTGGTTAAACTGTCCTCCTGGCAGGGCCTTTAAAATCTGTTGGCCTGTTTAAAAGGTTAGTTTACTATGATTAATAGGATCTGAACACGAAAGGAGAAAACAAAAGTAGGAAGGGTGACTGTTCTGTCCAAACTCACATCTGTTTTTAAAATCAGACAGAGGTAGAAAGTCCCTTTCAAATCCCCATTCTGCATGTTACAAAAATATTTTGTCACATTTCCCCGTCACCGTGCTACCTGTCTGCCCATGAGACTACTTGGTCTGTGGATTGACAATGATTGGAAGTCAGGTGTCTGGTTCAGCCATTTCTGGGGAAATCATTTAGGGGAAATGTAAATAGAGGGGGAAATGATGAAGGTCACTTGGAACTTTTAATTACCAATTCACTTGGTTTAGGGAAAAAGGCAGGGCCAGAGGGCATGGAATTTTCTTCCTCCTGATCAAGTAAACCTGACCTTTACAACTTAAACTTTGATTGATGAGTTTAAACTTGAGGATGATTGTTCTTTTATTCCAGATTTTACAAAAGCAGTGATTTGTTTCCTTCATAACAATAGTTTCTATTTCATTAGTACTGAATTAAACCATTAGTTGCCCCCCAATAAACCCCATACCCTTCGTCATGATTCAAGGAAGGTTTGTTCTAGGATCCCTTACAAACACCCCAGAACCTGGTGTGAGTTACATGCATTTTCTTTTCCAGAAGAAGCCACTTGTAAATGCAGTTTCTCTGGGAACGAGGTATAGGAGGGACACCACATTTATCTGTTTGCTTTCCCTGAAACACCTGGTTTTTAGGAAGCCTCTAATTGTTGGAATTTCAGTGTGTGGATTATCTTTTGATACAGAAACTCTTTGATTGTACCTCACTCCATCCGCTTCCTTCTCATAGATTCCTCCCTGCCCATGGGAGAATCCATGTATTTAACAATTTA